TTTATTTCGTGTGTCGACAAATTGATCTCATATTCTGATGAAGGCGCAAGTCGAAATATATTAATTTGTACTTTTCTTTTTGAATATAATTACTAATATGAGCATAAGGTTATTAATAGCATACCTAATAATTACATTCATAATGCTCAAAAGTGCCATTGCAAGATTACAATCAATTTGAATAATCATTGAATATGAATTTCTCATTTTAAACTTTGTTAAAGGGACTATCTCACCTTCAAAAAAGTCCCGTTTAGGATTCGAAAATGTTACTCTGGGTAGTGTGACGAATTCTGCAAGTTTTTACGCGTTTTCATACTCTACTTTTTTAGATATTGCGATTTTTATATTTCATCGTGACGTCATTTAGATCGGATCTGTGACGTAATGAAGAATTTACTTCATGCCAATGAGGGGGGAAATTTGGCAGCAAATATATTTGCTTTCAAATATGACGCGGCTCATACCATAACAAAAGTGTCTCTGATTAGGCATTTTGTAGTTGGCAATATGATACCTTGATTACGGAGCGAGCGAAGCGAGCGGAGTCTTACGTAGAATAACGGAAATTTCTGAGTATGAGCGGCCGGCCGTGGTCACGATTCTGCGACGCTTATATCTCAGCAACCACTTGACGGATTTACATGCGGTAAGTTTTTTTAGGGTAGCTTCATTCCTTCTACCAAGTATTGGACTATTCCCGATGCATGTGGGTGACCCCTTATGCACGTGCCACGTGCAAAACGAAGAGGTGTCACTTTTGTAATAGTTGCAATATCTTGATAACTACTGGGCCGATTGCGCTGAAAGTTGGCATGTAGGTAGGCACCCACTAGGCAATGCATATCCGTGTGCCAGAGTTGGGTTGCTGCTGCACGTGCGCACGTGCAGGGGTCGATTCCAGATCTCGAGAACGGCTGGACCGATTGCGCTCAAATTTGGTAGGGGAGAGTGGGGTAATTTGGCCGTTTTTTTAGAAAACGATGTAACTAAAAATCGACAACACATTTCTGCATTTTCTCAACGCTGACAGGTGTGGCATACATTTTACTTTCTAGGACAGTAAACTTGAAATGATTGAGTAACTACTTATATTGAAATTGTGGCGTATTACAAAGGTCTGCAAAGCGGCCAAATTGCCCCACTAGCAGGGTTATTTGACCGGGGGTGTGGGGCAATTTGGCCGGTGTTAGTTTGAGGCCATGATTTTTGTTATAGGCGAGTCAGCTTCACATTCAGCAATGACGCGTGTCCTACGACGCATTTGAAGAATTTTGGAGGTTGACTCAGCCGTCACAGGGGTCGAAAATAGTCAAAATAGAGGCTCTAGATGCGATGACAGTTTTTTACGGATAACTTTTGAAGTAATCAAGTTAGGCCAAAACTAAAAACACCATCGTAATTCTCTCCTCATTCCGCATCGAAACATGTATGTGTTGACCTCGAGAGGTCAAGGTCAAGGTCAAGGTCAAGGTTGGCTTCAGGTCACGTTACCTCAGGTCGCTTGACCTCAAGGTTACGTGAAATCAAGGTCATCATGTATATCATTCGATGCGCCTTGACGAGATGAACACTATGAGACCATTTGCGCGGCTGTATCTTTTTTCTGTAAATATTTATTAGCAAAAAAGCGTTAGGTAACCTTTGATGACGTCACATGTCCTTACAGCTGTCCAATAGGAAATATGGCATCAAGGTAGTCAAAGTTGGTCATCAATTATGTCCTTTATGGTATAATTGACCATGACAACTCGGCCGTCCCAGCATAGTGAATCTGAGCGCACCGGCCAAGTTGCCCCGCTAGTCCCGGCCAAATAACCCCACATTGCCATTCTGAATTTTTTTGTCTATTAAGTCGTCATGGCTGTACAGAACTAGATGAAATTGCTCGTGGAACCGCTGAACACCCTCAAAAATGGCGCTAAAATGTTTTAATTCGTTTACAGCCCAAATACTACATGCTATACAAATCTTTAAACGGAAGTAAAAGTTACCATTTTCTAACGCAATTCACCTTTTATTAATTTTGAATAAAACTAAGAGGGGGAAGTTTTGACATTTGTTCTCGAGTTAGTTCTGCCGATGACAAATGAATAGAGACTAAAGTTATTTCATTCACTTTTATCAGCTTTCATACAGGTGGGGGCGGCCAATTTACACCACCGGCCAAATTACCCCACTCTCCCCTACACGGTTACGGAGCAGTTAGTAGGGTGCCGTGCACAAGTCAGTTGGGACCCATTTTGCACGTGCGCACGTGCAGGGTGCCGCTTCCAGATCTCGAGAACGGCTGAGCCGATTGTACTGAAATTTGGCACATCGCTAGAGACCGGTTAGTAGGGTGCCGTGCACAAGTCAGTTGGAGGTACCCCTCGCAATTTCGCACGTGCAAGGTCCACCCTCTCGCTCGCTCCGTTAATCGCCCCAAAAGGCGTTATACTGGTGATACCTAGTCAATGTAAGTCTGTTTACGGAGCGAGCGAAGCGAGCGGAGTCTAAAGGCCGCCCCACACTGGACCTCGCATGCGGGTTGCGAGTTTTTGGTTTTTCGGGTTTCTTCAAAATCAAATAATACAATCTAAGCTGACTGACCCACACTACCATGTAACAAGCGAGTCTGCATGTTTTTAGCTTGCGAGCCACCTTACATCGCATTCCAAAAGCTCGTTTTAAGTCAACTTTCGATTTTCCTCGCAGCGAGGTCTGCGAATTCTGCGAGGCTTGCGGGTTTTTCGTTGGAGTCGAATTTTGGTTCGTTGCGCTGGTATTGTGACTATATGTAATTTTCTGAAGGTGCACCGGCTTCACTGTATTCATGAAGTTACCATAAGGGAACGGTCTAATCACTCTATGAATTAGTATTATGCCCGCAAACTCAAAACCCGCAAACCCGCAACCCGCATGCGAGTTTCAGTGTGGGGCGGCCTTTACGTAGAATAACGGAAATTTCTGAGTATGAGCGGCCGGCCGGCCGTGGTCACGATTCTGCGACGCTTATATGTCAGCAACCACTTGACCGATTTACACGCGGTAATTTTTGTAGGGTAGCTTCATTCCTTCTGCCAAGTACTGGACTATTCCCGATGCATGTGGGTGACCCCTTATGCACGTGCCACGTGCAAAACGAAGAGGTGTCACTTTTGCAATTGTTGCAATATCTCGGTAACTACTTGGCCGATTGCGCTGAAAGTTGGCATGTAGTAAGGCACCTACTAGGCAATACATATCCATGTGCCAGAGTTGGGGTGCTGCTGCACGTGCGCACGTGCAGGGGTCGATTCCAGATCTCGAGAACGGCTGGACCGATGGCGCTCAAATTTGGTACATGGTTAGGGACCGGTTAGTAGGGTGCCGTGCAAAAGTCAGTTGGGACCCATTTTGCACGTGCGCACGTGCAGGGTGCCGCTTCCAGATCTCGAGAACGGCTGGGCCGATTGTGCTCAAATTTGGCACATCGCTAAAGACCGGCTAGTAGGGTGCCGTGCACAAGTCAGCTGGAGGTACCCCCTCGAAATTTCGCACGTGCAGGGCTCACCCTCTCGCTTGCTCCGTTAGTCGCCACAAAAGGCGTTATACTGGTGGATAAAAACGATAGCCCGACTCGAATTATAAACAAAGTGCGAGATTTCCCCGGCGCCGATTTCAACTTATTCGTAAAACAGGTCGAACGCGTGAAACGGCTGATGACGTCATCAAATGGCCGTTAATACGCAACCGAAGTGTGACGTCATGACTAGTGGCTGGGGCATAATCAGCTGACGGCCCTGTGTTAAAGCAATGGGACGAAATTTTATCGGTATTTTTAGAAAACACTGGACCTAGTTAGATAGTTTGGGGGCCAGTTTCTAAGTAAACTGAGTATATTCTATTTTTCTACGCCTAAAAATGCTATGTTTTAAAGCGGAAAGGGCCGAACTTCGCGAATTTGTTACGGATGGCGTTGACGCACCAAATACATGACCTTGAAGACGCGAACTGCGACCACGTTGTAGGATTTTGGTGCGAAAGGTTTGACATATTTGAGTTTGAGCTGATTTAATATTTTTTATTTGTAAAAAGCAAAGGAGAAAATTTACCATATTAGTTATTTCGTAACTCTTTTTTATTTTTTATCTATGTTTTTAAACCTCTTGATTAGAAATGTTTTGTATTTCTGCGTCAACTTCGCCGCAAATTAGGTTTTCACCAAATTTTGTGCTTTGCATTATTAGGTTTTGCAATATTTTTCCATAGAAAAATAGACCATACATCGTTGTCCTAAATCCAGCTACTAAAACTATCTAACTAGGTCCAATTTTTTTTTAGGAAAGATCGGCAAAGTATTGCCCCATTGCTTTAACACGGGGCCGTCAGCTGATTATGCCCCAGCCACTTATCGTGACGTCACGACTTTGGTTGCGTATAGTTAAGAGATAGGGCCTTAGCTAAGGCCCACTTTTCAAATGAAGGGAACGAATTTCTTTAACACCACGAAACTGAGGATATTGCGACCAGGATATATAGTGGTTTCTGAACCTGGCCGCCAACTTGGCTATCTCAACTCAGAACTAATGCAAAGGTGGGACAGTCCCAATTTAACACTAGGTATCTGTGGTCAGGTCAGATCTTTGTCCTCATCATTACCAGCCAAATCGGGGAAAAGGACAAATATCTCTTGATCTGAAGAGGCACGTCAAAAACAACAGCATATTTACAGAAACACGATCATTCTGCACATATTTGATGGACAGCGAGCAATTGATGGCCAGCGGGCACTAAAAGGGTCGGGCCAGGTCAAAAAGCTTTTAAGAAGCTCAACATCAGTTTTTCGACTATTACTTTTAAGCGTCTCAGCTAGAGGGCGACCACGGCCACGCTGAGCTCGGCTGGTCGGACGGAGGACGGCCGCCATGGCGCCGCGCCGCGCCGGGCGCCAATCTCCGGCACCGACGGCCGCCCTCCGATCAATTGGGGGGGGGGGGCAGCGCGCCGCCGCTGCCGCCGCCGCCGCCGGCAGACGTCAGCGAGCGCCGGCGACGGGAGGTGATAGCGCCATTGTGTACGCCGCCGCTCGTGAACATGCTGTACAATGTGGCGTCGGTGCCGGGCGGCCTGGAGCCGGCCTTCTACGCGCCGTACCGGCAGCCGGCACTGCTGGCGGCCAAACTGAGCGAGCCGGCGCCGGCGCACAAGGAGCCGGACGCCGTCAAACTGTTCATCGGCCAGATCCCGCGCCACCTCGAAGAGCGCGACCTGCGGCCCATGTTTGAGGAGTTCGGCGCCATCTACGAGCTGACCGTGCTCAAGGACAAGTTCACCGGCATGCACAAAGGTGAGCGACCGGAACCTGTTGACGGCCGGCCGGCCGGCCCCGGCGCGACCGTGGGACCGCCGCCGCCGGCCGTCTCCTTGACGTGGCCATGGATTTCTTCTAGGTACCTACTACTTCACCCATGCCGTGGCCTCCGACCGGGCGCGGCCAGCGCGCCGGCCGTGCTGCTTACGCGCGTCGCGCAGTGTCTGGGAGAGCGTCCCGAGCCCTCCGACACTGCCGCCGCCGCCGCCGCGCCAGTGCACAGTGGGCGGTTCAGTGGGTCTAGCCTCTCACCACCTTTCAGCCCTTAAAGATTTGGATCTAGGCGACCTACATCTAAAAATGACACACCAATTTGCAGTAAATTCATTAACTCTCGCCGGCACAGGCCATTTTGCGTCCTTCGACGGCACAAAGGGGAGGGTTGGTACGACCCCCCCCCTCGCGTTTGGCCCCTGATCGAGCTAGAGCTTCGTGGAAAAAAGCGAGTGTGTTGCCCGTGACGAGAGGAAGCCGACGATACCCAATTTTAAGGTCCTAGATCATCGGTTGACCTTCCAGTTTAGCTCAATGACTCAAAGGTCGGGAAAATCGGGAGCCGTTAGAACGTCGTGAAGTGTGGCTGCTATGTTTTGTCGGGGTGCTGATCACAAATATCATGCTAGTTTTGATCACAGATGATGTCTTTATGCATTTAGGTCAGGTCGGGTCAGGTCAGGTCAACCAGTAGTGCTCCTGCCAGGTATTCGTAATACGTGTCAATCGCCTCTGACAGCTTCGTAACATGTTATGAAGGCACCAAAAGTACTTCGTACCTAAATGTTCAAATGGTTGCTAACTCTGTCAATTTCTGTCTGGCTAATTCTGTCAAATAATAATGTCATGTAAAAAATGTCAAACTTACAATGTCCTATTGTTAAGTTACCTACATAAAAAGTCACACTTAATCAATGTTTTTCGTTACAGGAATAATATTTTACATTACACAGACATATCAAAGCCCCTCAATGCGAAAAACATTGATTTGCCAAGCTACAAATTGCTACAAATCAGCAAAAATTGATGGGGCAAAATGGCAAGCTGGTCCAACTGTATAGGAAGCTCCGCCCCTGGCCGAGGAGGTCTTGTTTGTGTTAGGAAGTATCGTGCTGATTTGCACGAAATGGCCCGTGTCCATGGTTTGCGTGTGCTGATTTGCACGAAATGGCCCGTGTCCATGGTTTGCGTAGCGCCACCTTCTCGTGCCACACTCTTTTCTTTGCTAATGGCCCGTAGTAGTTCGTCCAGCCTAACCGACACAAGTTCCGCCCTATGAACTCCAAAGTCCATGGTCACCTTCCCGGTCACTAGTCAGTGGTCAGTGGTCACTGGTCAGTGGTCACTGGTCAGTGGTCACTGGTCAGTGGTCACTGGTCAGTGGTCACTGGTCAGTGGTCAGTGGTCACTGGTCAGTGGTCACTGGTCACTGGTCAGTGGTCAGTGGTCAGTGTCACTGGTCAGTGGTCAGTGGTCAGTAGTCAGTGTCACTGGTCAGTGGTCTGTGGTCAGTGGTCAGTGGTCAGTAGTCAGTGGTCAGTGGTCAGGGGTCAGGGGTCACTGGTCAGTGGTCAGTGGTCACTGGTCAGTGATCAGTGGTCAGTGTCACTGGTCAGTGGTCAGTGGTCAGTAGTCAGTGTCACTGGTCAGTGGTCAGTGGTCAGTGGTCAGTGTCACTGGTCAGTGGTCAGTGGTCAGGGGTCAGTGGTCACTGGTCAGTGGTCAGTGGTCACTGGTCAGTGTCACTGGTCAGTGGTCAGTGGTCAGTAGTCAGTGTCACTGGTCAGTGGTCAGTGGTCAGTGGTCAGTGTCACTGGTCAGTGGTCAGGGGTCAGTGGTCACTGGTCAGTGGTCAGTGGTCACTGGTCAGTCATCGGCCGGGCGCGACGCCGCGAGCAGTCGCCGAGAGCCTCTGGATGGGCTGGCCCGCTACACAGAGTGCCCGCTCCACGGGCACTCCGTAATCGTATGCCGGGCGCTCTGTGTGCTGGGCGTTGTGTGCTGAGCTCTATGTGCTGGGCGCTGTGTGCTGGGCGCCGTGTGCTGGGCTCTCTGTTTGCCGGCCGGGCGCTCTGTGTGCTGAGCTCTGTGTGCTGGGCGCTGTGTGCTGGGCTCTCTGTTTGCCGGCCGGGCGCTATGTGTGCCGGCTGCTCTCTGTGCTGAACGCTGTGTGCTGGACGCTCTCTGTGCTGAACGCTGTGTGCTTCCCACTGCTCCTGCTGGCCGGCAAGCGTTTGTTTGCTTGTTTTGTAGGGGAGGCCCTTTTGGTCTAGACCTTTTCAGAGCTGTAAGATTGATTGAAATTAGGGGGAGACATTAGTATGGGCGGCCACCGTGGTGCGCCGCCGGGGCTGAGCCCGTCTGCAGTGGGCAGATCAACCAGTCCCGCAAACGGTCACTCCACCGCACGTGAGCCTGTTCCTGAAGAGCTACTCATGTCGAATAAAGGCGATCTTCCAGCCTGCATCAGGGGGCGTGGAGGAGGAAGGTTTGGCGGAACTGACGGTAGGTACTGGGCAGTAGCAGCGGTCGGCGGGCCGATTTGATCAGGGGCCACTGACGCCGAGCCGTGTACCCGGCCCGGCTCGGTCCGGTCCGGGACCGCTGGGTAGGTGGGACGGCTGGGTATGTGGGACGGCTGGGTATGTTGGACGGCTGGGTAGGTGGGACGGCTGGGTAGGTGGGACAGCCGCCGTGCCCGCCGTGCCCGGTAGCTGGGAGGTTTGCCGTGGCAGAGGCGCGGGACGGCCCGTCCCAAAGGTGGGCCGGCACCTGACCGCCCCCCCCCCCCCCGCCCCCGAGGGCCGCCACCGTCTGCGTCGGCCGGCCGGCCTGCTGGGGCTCAATCCAAACACCGTCCGCCGGCGGCGTAAACCGACACACCCGCCCGTGTATTTGTGTTCAGCGCCGCTCGAGAGGCCATGCCGCCGAGAGAGACCGACCAGACCAGGCGATCGCGCCCGCCCACACCGGAGCAGCACTCGGTGACTTTCAGAAACTGCCACTCTTCTATCGCCGTGTGCTGCTCGGCACTGCACAGTGTGCTGCCCGGCACTGCACAGTGTGCTGCTCGGCACTGCACAGTGTGCTGCCCGGCACTGCACATGGCCCGAATTTCTGTGGCCGCACTGCAGGGACGGGCCAGGGCCGGCGGGCCAGTGATGTGCCAGTGATGGGCCAGGGATGGGCCAGGGACGGGCCAGGGATGGGCCAGGGACGGGCCAGGGATGGGCCGGGGCCGGCGATTTAGGGACGGGCCAGGGCCGGCGGGCCAGGGATGGGCCAGGGACGGGCCAGGGACGGGCCAGGGACGGGCCAGGGCCCGCGGGCCAGGGATGGGCCAGGGATGGGCCGGGGATGGGCCAGGGATGGGCCGGGGATGGGCCGGGGCCGGCGGGCCAGGGATGGGCCAGGGCCGGCGGGCCAGGGATGGGCCAGGGCCGGCGGCTCTGCCGCTGACTGACGGCGTGATTTTCTGGAGCCCGCCGAGCGTAAAATTAATTCGTTTTGTGTCGCGTATGCTCGACAGCGGCCGAATCACAGCCCGCTGCATGCTTTTATCTATGAGGCAATTATAATAGTCGGTCGCATCTGTATTCATTATTCCCTCTCCCTCTCTCTCTCTCTCTCTCTCTCTCTCTCTCTCTCTCTCTCTCTCTCTCTCTCTCTCTCTCTCTCACCCCGGCACCCCGGTCTGGACGTCAGCGGCCGCCGCCGGCTTCCGGTCACTGGCCGCCACGCCGGGCGGCTCTGCGCCCTGCGGCTGCCCAGTCCCAGTCCCAGTCCCAGTCCCAGTCCCAGTCCCAGTCCCAGTCCCAGTCCCAGTCCCAGTCCCAGTCCCAGTCCCAGTCCCAGCTCGGCGCCCGGCTGCTGTCCAGTCCCAGTCCCGGCGGCGCCCGGCGGCTGCCCAGTCCCAGTCCCAGTCTCAGTCCCAGTCCCAGTCCCAGTCCCAGTCCCGGCGGCGCCCGGCGGCTGCCCAGTCCCAGTCCCAGTCCCAGTCCCAGTCCCAGTCCCAGTCCCAGTCCCGGCGGCGCCCGGCTGCTGCCCAGTCCCAGTCCCAGTCTCAGTCCCAGTCCCAGTCCCAGTCTCAGTCCCAGTCCCAGTCCCAGTCCCAGTCCCGGCGGCGCCCGGCTGCTGCCCAGTCCCACTCCCAGTCCCAGTCCCAGTCCCAGTCCCAGTCCCAGTCCCGGCGGCGCCGCGTCGCTGATAGGCCACCCGACTCGGCCTGTTGATTGCCAGCGTGTTGAGGGAGCAGCTGATGGCCGAGATAGCAGGTATCGACCGGCCGGCCCCACACATCAGTGACCATCTGCTCACTGTGGTAACGCATCGCGCAATATGGCCAAGCGGCCGTGTGCACACCGGGTCACGAGCAGCACATCTCCGTCCTTCCGCAATCGCTCCCGTACACAAGAAAACAGCTTTATGTTCTGCTGTGTCATGGCCGTTAGTTTGCCTTTGTCACTTGTTGGAAGAAAGGAACCTGGAACCGCTGGTAAGAACCTCGGCTGGCTATGTCATGATGCGTGTAGGGGGCAAAGGCTAACCTAGCCGCAGTGCTCTTTTTGCGGTTGTTCGAAATGAGCCACAAGACAACCGCAACGCCGTTTCCGGTCCGTAGCTATTTTACGTGACACATGGAACAACATTTCTCCCCAGATTACCATCTGGGCCCTTTTCACCGTCCGGACGGTGCGCGTGCACCAGTGCGCCAGCGCGCTGGTGCGCCGTTCGTGGGCGCTCGAGAGACGAATTCGGCTCGTCGCTTCAGCATGGCGAGGCGTCCGAGTTTGCTATGTTTTCATGGAAACCCAACGCGCCGACGCGCGCAGCGCGCTGCAGCGCTTTGCCCTTAAACACCACCCTGATTTCAAGCATTGAACTGTTCGTTTATTCCATTTCTGTCTAGAAGTTTATTTCAAACCAGGACCTCCTCTAAGAAATTTCCATTGGCACTGGCTAGCCTCCAGGAATTTTCGGAC